GTACTATGTGCCGTTTATGCGTACATGTTTAGCATAAATTTAAAGTTCTGTTTTTTCAATGTTAAAAGAATGTTCTATGTATGGCAGATAAACTTTACATATTGATACAATATGCTTCCTATCTTGATCCTTAACATCTTCCTGTCAACCAAACAAATATAAACATTGGAAAATTAATACTGTATACGTTTCAGCACGTGTTAGTGTATACTTTGTGTACACTATGTATGTGGAGTCTTTTTGAAAATGATGGCTTTAAATTTGAGTGATTTTTTTTTTCTTTTTTCTTATGACAAATTAACCATATAAATGGTGAGTCTTTTCACAACACTAACATGCGCAAGCTCCATCACCATGAATGAATGAATGGGATAGATGGAAGAAAAAGATAAATTTAGAGAATAGTGAAATAATGAAAAAACTAAGAAATGATATAGAAAAGAAAACTGATAAATAGTATGCAGCTATGAAACTTAAGTTGACTGTGGTGAGTCTTCTAAATATCATTATAAAATTAAGAAAAAAAAAAAAAACTATGCACATAAGCTCTCTAACTTTGAATTTCAATCTTGATCCTACTCCTGATATGCAGTCTAGTTTTTTTATTTAATATATTTGTATATGTTTTTTCAATTCATAATGGATGAATTATGTTCTCATGCGTGAACCATTTTCAACATACCCCTATAGTTATGATCTAATCCACATGGCCAGCATTAAATACTTTATAAAAGATTTGTTTCTGGTAAAAGCAGGTACTTTCATTTTTAACTTCTAATAGGATGTCACACTATTTCCGTATTGATTTGGAACATCTATTTTTTATATAAAGGGACTGTACAATATCTTAGCGAATATATTGAATTCTTAATGAAAAGTCGTGCTTATTTCATATAGATGTTTATTAGAGCATATATTCAGTCAATGATAGTCTCACTTTCACAGTTGGTTTGTTGTTAAAGAACCAAATAGCATTAGTACTTAAGGTCATCGGAATTAGCATATGGACCGTCTGTAGTGATATCAGCTTTATTATGATGTGTGGAGATATCTGTATCTATTAAATAGCCGTAGGAAATACATCAATGTATTCTTGCATGGAATGAAGTTATATGATTGTTTAAATTATGCGTTAGATTTGTAATGTCTTTATTAGCATTTTATAGGTATGTATAACGTTAAAAGTTCCATTGCTACTTATCTTCTGAATAAATTGTATTGCTATGCTACTTATCTCTTAGAACCATTATTATTTTTAAAGTACCGCAAGAATAACTTATAGAAAATTTAATAATATAGAAGCACTTTTTTTTTTCTTGGAGATGGTTGACATACTATAATATAATTCATGGGATAAGATGCCTTTGTTATATGACTTTGCACAAATCTTGTGTATTTCTTTAGTTGGTTTTGCATACTAGCACCAATGCGCAATTTTGTAGGTTCTTTTGATTAAAATGGTAGTAGGTTATTCACTAGATATTAAAAGAGTATTAAGAGAAGTTCATCTAAATAACCTCATTTGTTTACTTAGTTAAAACACTATACATCTTCATTTGTTTACTTAGTTAAAATGCTATACATCTTTTTTCTATAAGCAATTCATAGAAGAATGATTGTTTATTGTTGATTATTGCACTAATGAGCTTAACACATGTGATTATTACATTCTAGGAATCTGAACAAAGTGTGCTAGTAAATAATTTATATCTAAGCTTTGTTTAGGTTGTTATGCTTGGTTTTTGTTATAAGTCAATGTAGTAGATGTTAGCTGCTAAATATCATGCATTTCGGATTATAGTTTTGTAGGCTTTAATTGAAGAGGAGAAGGAAGGGAGAGGCCAGTGTTTAATGACGATAGTCTTTCTAGGAGCACCTTCTTCATCTACTTCTTTTGCTTTAAAGGAAGCACTTTCTTTATCATTATTTTTGTAATGGTGATGATGATGGGTAAGTGGTGGTTAGGAAGATTAAGGGGTCATTACTGTTACCATAATGAGTTTCTGATCCGATGGATGACGAGCAGCAAGAGGGTCCAAGACAGGAGCAAGAAGAAGAGGGTTCACGATCTCGAAGTAGCAACCGAGAAATGGAAAATTGTCTCTAAAATCATCTATTTAATGGAGCTTCTAAAGCAAGAACCTGAGATGGTGATTCCCGTTCGCTCCCTCGAGCAACACCGCAGGCAGATCAACCTCCCCAAGCCCCACCGCATCTCGGATTTCCTTTGCAAAACCCCCAAACTCTTCGAACTCTACAAGGACCAAAAGGGGGTCCTATGGTGCGGAATGACGCCAAAAGCCGAGGACTTGATGGAACAGCAACAGAGGGTCATTGAGGATCACTCTGATAAGGCTGCAGAACATGTTACGAGGTTTCTCATGATGTCAGTGGAGAAACGCCTTCCCTTGGAGAAGATTGCTCACTTCAGAAGAGATTTTGGGTTGTCCTTGGATTTTAGAGTCCATTGGGTGCACAAGTATCCACAACATTTTAAGGTGGTGAAAGCATTTGATGGGATTGAGTTTTTGGAGCTTGTGTCTTGGAATCCTGAATGGGCAATTACTGAGTTGGAGAAGAAAGTGGTGAGAGAAGTAACTGAAAGTGGAAGCCAAAGTGAATTCCCTGGTGTGCTTTCACTTCCATTTCCTTTGAAGTTTCCTTCAAATTATAAGAGGGTATATCGGTACTATGCTGAAAAGATTCAGCATTTTCAGGAGATGTCTTATTTGTCTCCTTATGCGGATGCACATGGACTTAAGGCTGGTTCTTTGGAGTTTGATAAAAGGGCTGTTGCTGTTATGCATGAACTGCTTAGTTTCACTATTGAGAAGAGGTTGGTCACTGATCACCTTACTCACTTTCGTTGGGAGCTTGTGATGCCTCAGAAGCTGATGAGGCTTCTGCTCAAGCATTGTGGGATCTTCTATGTGTCAGAGAGGGGGAAGAGGTTTAGTGTGTTTTTGACTGAAGCTTATGATGGTTCTGAGCTCATTGAGAAATGCCCCTTGGTGCTGTGGAAGGAGAATATTCTAGGGCTTGTGGGTTATAGAGGGAGGAAGAAGAAGTTTGAGGTTTGCAGTGAGGGGTCTGATGTGGAGGGTCATGGTAGTTTGTTTTTGGACCAGTGTGATTCTGAAATGGGGGAGTTGCATGTGCAGATTGAACAAAATGGTACCTTGGATTACGAGGACCCTGTACTTGTGGATGGTTCTGAGATGAATGTCGGAGACATTGCCTGAACATTGGTCAGGTGTGTTCCACTTTAACACAGGTATATAGTTGTTTCAATTTTGAGCAGGAAGATGCAATTGTATACCTTAAATGTATCAAATTTTGTGAATTGCTTTCGAATTTCTTTGGAAGAAGATTTGAAATGGCTTGAATGGTGCTGCTGATGTATCCTTTGCTCTAACTTGGTCTCCCTATTTGTTTTCGGAATTTGGTCAACTATTGTTTTAATAGTGTAAATTTAATCCATGTTAGCTTGACTTCCGTAGTTAAAGGAACGCTAATGTGATGTGACACTATACAACACATCCACCTCACCATTACTGCCACGTCAACTCGCCCATTAATATTGGATGTAAGTTAGCAGATAAACAAAAAAATACAAGACTAAAATAGTGAGAACCAAACTGTCACTTCAAAATATGAGGGGACTAAATTCGAGAAATGACAATACAGAAAAGATAAAGAGTGTTATTAAATATTTTCTTTAAAAAATTTCAAACTTCAAAGTGGAGGGAATGCTGCCAGAAGCTGAGCAGTTGACAAATCAGATGGTTAAGAATGAATCTTTTAGAAGTGATAAATTCTTGATGACATTTTAATGGATTCTGTGCGAACATAAGAGGGATGCACAATCTAATGATAAATTTGATGCTTCAGCAAGTCAAAAATATTACTGAAACTGTTGTTGGGTTATGCTGCTGGGGTATCAAAAGTTATTGGTCAGCTCATCAGCTTGTCTAAAGAAGGTATATCTCTATGTTAAATTGATCAACATTCTTTGATCTTTTTTCTGAAATTTCCATTTTCAACATAAAGTTTTCTTTTTCCAGGAGAAATCAGTAAAGCTGGATTGCTTGACCATCAATTGTGGCAAAATGAAAGGAGTCACTATAGCTTCTCTAATTAGACTATGGCAAACAACAAATAAAGAAACAAGATGAAGATATCTTTGTAGAATATGTAAACTGTTGTATAACTGATCAATGCATATGCTAAATTTTTGGGAGGATCTTTAGGGGTTTGCTTCCTTAGTTTGGCTTTCGCATATCCTTTTTGTTGTTCTTCCTTACACAGTTGGATAGAGCAGTGAAGATTTTCAACAAATCTAGCGCATGTGGTGTCGCGCTGGATGAAAAAACATACATGAATATGATTGACTATCGTGCGAAAGCTAGTATTGTCCTTTTTACCTTAACCTAGATGAATTATGATAAATATGAATGCAACATTGTATCTGGCTGGAATTCATGCGCATATTTTTTCTTCATTAGTACCTGATATGCTTGTACGATTCAATATAAAATGGAGGGTGTAAACATGATGAGATTAGCACTTCGATAGTCTCAAATCTGCTTGATTATTAGTTTGTTTAGTTTCTCATGTTTGGTATTTCCTAGAGTTTTGCAATCGTAATTATTTTATTTTGGAGGTATGACTTTTTGAACCAGATTTTCATCCCTAAATCTCTAATCCTTGTCCTATCTCATGTTTATGACTACTTTGCTCATTAAATTATATATTGCTCTAAAGAAACTCCGATTTTAGAATTATATATAATTTATATCTGGATTGTAGTCACATGCTGATAATGGTTATTTGTAGTTCATTTGGTTCTGCATTATCATATTTCCTGCATTGGACAGCAAGCAATATTTTGCATTTCAGGCATCATATTGTTATTTAGTGTTGAATAATGTCTATAAAATGGTTAGTGCTAATTATTTGTCTTTGCTTGGGAATGCAGGTCAGTGACAATATCATGATCGATGTATATTCTAATGCTGGAGACCTTCATGAAACAGAAAAACTTTTCCAGGCCAGGTAGAGCCAAGGTTGTTTGCCTGAATCTTTCACAAATCTTTCCCTTGTCCAAGCTTTACACAAAGAGCTGGAATTATTGTAAAGTTGGGGGAACCTTACATGCTATGCAGAGCAAAGGCATTTCACCATCTTGTGTCCATTTTAACGTTTTACTCCATGGCTTCACAAAACCTGGGTTGATTGATGAAGCCAAGAGGATTTATGAGGAGCTACCATCTTTTGCTTTAGCTCCTGATCTTGTATGTTACCTTACAATGCTGAATACACCTGAAATGTGGATATGTGGAAGAAGGAATGAATATTTTTGGAATTATACGTGAATCAACAAAAGGTCATTTTGCATGTCAGTGAAGTCAATTCATAGCAATATTCATCCCCACTAGTTTGCAATCTTTTACACCTTTAATTATGTCAAATCAATCAATACCTTCAACGATTCTCTCTTTCATGGAACTCCTAATACAATGATTTTCTACTTTTGATTACTTAATTTGCATATGCTATTACTTGAACCCTTCTTATGCCATAAGATGAATTAATTATATGCTCTACTTTCTTCTTAGTGATATCATTTATGGCTTTCACAATCCTTGAACCCCCCATAACCAGTAAATGAAGATGGTAAACACTGGTGATGAATAAAGAAGTTTCAAATGAGATGATAAAATTTTTAAGTTGTGACTAATTGAAAAAAACAAATGTAAAAATTATAAGTGGAAAATTAACCAATTATATTTTTTAAATAAAATAACATTCAAACACCTTGTTTTGAAATAGACAAATATCTATTTTATATTTTACTAAATTACACGTTTTAAATAAAGTGACACTTCTTTTATTTTATTTAATAATATTGTATTCATTAAAACTTTAATGAAAATTTTAAAATATAAAAATTAAAGATGTTTTTAAGTGCCATTTTATAAAAACAAATAAAATAAGTATTTGTTTTATAACAAAATATATGTAAATATCATTTAAACAATCCTTAAACTTATAACAATTTAAAAAAAATCTAAATATCATCGTACTTTAACCTAAACTCATTTATATTATTAGTTATATTCTTAATATGATATATTTTTTAAAAGATATAATGAGTCTATACTTAGTTGTCGTTACTAGTGTTTTCTAAACTTTTTCATTTTGTCCATGAGGGGCATTCAACAATATAACAGTCTCAAAGAGACCAAAATATGGGTAAGAGAAGGAAGTTAACAAGTTTAACGAATATAAAAAAAGGAAATTTAAAATTACTTATCCAAAAATTGTGATATGAGAACATCTTCACAACATGTTAAGAAGACTTATCTAGGATAAAATTCATAATTTTTTTTAATAGAATCTTTTTTCATTAGTAATCACATTTCATGACAATTGTTCAAGAATTATTCATTTAAAAAACAACTACTTTAATTTTTTTATGCATATAGTTTATTTACATTACAAAAATATTTTAATAAATGGAAGTTATATTTACTTTCATTGGATATTATATTTGCATTGGTGGACTATATGTTAATTTAGAGATATTTTTGTAATCTCTACACAATAACTTCTCTATTTACCAAAAATATCTATAAGTTAGTTTGATTTGTTTTAATATAAATAATTGTATTTTTTATATGTGAAATTGACATGTTGCTTGTTATTTGAATTTAAATAATGTTACATGATGAATAGAATAAGTTAGATTTATTGGTTGATTGGTCTCAATTTAAGGGAATAGATTAATAGTTTTAGTTCATTAATTTATTTGACTTTATCACATCTTGACCCATTTAACCCATTTATTCATTTAAAAAAATATTTATATATTAAAATAAAAATAAAAATTATTATAATTAAAAATATTATATATTATAATTTAAATTATAAATATTAATTAATTAATCTTAAATTATTGGTTATAATTAAATATTTTAATACATAAATATAATTATTTTCTTAATTTATTTAATTAAAATAATAATAATTTAATGAATTATTTTAAAAATATATATATATATATATAAAATTATATATAAAAAAATATTGATAAATTAATTTATTAGAGATGAATTAAAATCTATCAAATGTGTTGATTATAATGAATTAGTTCCGGTTTTTTTTTTACAAAACAAACATATTCGTTTTATTGTCTTTATAAATATATTTGTATATAACAATACTAAAAGAATGTATTATATAATTGTAAATGAATTTGTTTATATAGTGTCACCGAAACACTAAATATTACAATACATTTAAATTTTAGAAATAATTCAAAGTTGAATATGACACTTAGTTTGCATTTGTTTAATCTTTTATATTATTTAAACTCATGCGCATGTGATGTATTTAGATCCAATCTTCAATTTGCTATTTGCTCATGAAGTTGAAGTGAGTTTGTAACTGTAATTATTATATTGGTGAAATAATTTAGAATATAAGATTTGAAAAGTAAAATTAATAGTCGTTTTAATCAGTTTCTTATAAAACATAAAAGGAGTTTTCGTTAATTATCTTTCCGTTAACAAATTTTAGTGAAGAAAATTTTTAAACAATAGATTGGTTATTAAACTAGGTTTATCATTACTATTAAAAATGACATTAAGTAACTTATCTAATCCTAACGAGATAATAATTTTAAAACGGATAATATCTCGAAAATTGATATAGATGTTAGAATTAATTTAATTCATTCATTCCATTACGTGATTCATGTGAAATATAATAATGAGTTCAAATGTGATTTAATAAAATATGAGGATCTATTGATTATTATGTGAATTTAGAATAAAATAAAGATAAAATAAAATATTAATTTACGGTAACTAACTTGATGGACGTTGGTTAATAAAATGGAATAAGGGTTACGTCTCTGGTCATAAAAGTTTTTCACGGTAAACCATCAAAAAAGCGTGAAAAGAGAAAGAAAGATAAAGAGATAGATTGGGAAAAGGAGATTGGAGACCGAGAAGATTAAAGAATATATTCTCATGGATGTTTTCTTATTATGATTCATGTATGTTATGTTGTGAAAATCAATAATATAAAGATTTTGTAGAATAGTTTTCCATAATAAATTAAGAACGTAGGAAAACTACATAATGTTTTACATGTGGTATCGGAGCACCGATTATTAGATTTATGATTTTCTTTGTATGAAAGTTTTCCCAAATATTAAGTTTTTTCCAAATTAAGATAAACCTTAATTATGAATTTAGGAATTTCTCTATCAGATTAGTATGAACCCTAATTTATTCCCAAATTTATTTTTCTCAAAATTAAATAAAGGAATAAACCCTAATTATGTTTTCAAGTTCAAATTGAAACCAATTTTATAGCCCACTATGCGTGAATGAAACCGTAATTGATTTTAATTGAAAAGACAAATGACGTGATAGGGTTAGGGTGAATCATGTATGAAATTAGTTTTATTGTATATTATAATTATGATGAGATATTATGATGAAATGTTATAATTACGATAGAAGAATGATAAAGCTGTAAAGTTGATAAACTTTGCGCGTAGAGAGGACGTGTTAAACATACAAGTTTCATATATTATATTTCATTATTTATAATATTATTTTGTGACTGTCTGAAGCCATTTTTCCCCTATATTATTTTGTCCCTATATTATTTGTACATTATTTTGTACGTACATATTTTTTTATGTGGGTGAAAGATAATTAAAGAGTTATTTTCATGTTAAGGTGAGTTGTATAATATACTCATACTGTAAAACTTTGTTATGGGTACTCGTAAGCTTTGTTATGGGTACTCGTAAGCTTTGTTATGGGTACTATAAGCTTTGTTAAGAGTATCGTAAGCTTATAGGTACTCGTAAAGCTTATAGGTACTTGTAAAGCTTATAGGTACTTGTAAAGCTTATGGGTCTTGTAAGCTTTGTAAAGCTTTGTTAAGAGTGCTTGTAAGCTTTGTAAAGCTTTGTTAAGAGTACTTGTAAAGCTTATAGGTACTGTAAGCTTTGTAAAGTTTTCTTAAGGGTACTCGTAAGCTTTGTAAAGCTTTGTTAAAGAATGCTTGTAAAGCTTTGTTAAGGGTACTTGTAAAACTTTGTTAAGGGTACTAATGTACCTATAATGTAAACATTGATAAATGAATGAATTTTGTTTTGCAAACTGAATTGTATTGTTTCCATTGTGTTTAAATTACTCATAAAAGTTTTAAATGGATGACAATTTCACTTTTACGTGAAATGCAAATAAAGGTCTTGGATTGAAAATCAATCTTAGGATGAAAATTGAAATTATGAGTTTCAATTTTATTTATGACACATAATATTTTATTATGTGAATAATGTACATATTTATTAAAATTAATAAAAAAAATGTTATGAATGGTTAATAGCAATTGAAGATGTTATTTATTTGAAATTAAGCATGATAAATTTTGTTAGTCACCAAAGTGGCCAAAATTTTAAGGTTATTTTGATTTCAAATTATTAATGATTTTATTCAATTACCCATATATAATATGAATGCTAAAATTATGAATAATGATTTATAGGTTAATTGAAGTTCATTATTATAAGGCATTTCGAGGATCACCCAAAGGTTGATTAGTTGTTATTATAATTAATGAACATGAAAGTAGATAATTTTGTGTGCGTCACTAGTTTTATTTATATACCTAAAGGTGTTAGGTGATTCTAGTTGATGCATATTTTAATTATCATTAATGTTATAAAAAGATTAGCGTAATTATGTTTGTGTATTAGTGGATCTCCCAAAGGAGAACATTAATATGCATAGAATGGTTATTTATGTTTGAATATGTATTTATGTTTAGTTTTTATGACTCAAAGCGTTAATGTTAGACATATGTTAATTGAAGTATTTGTTTATGTATTTCTACATTCGCTTACTTAGACTGCATTCCAGTATTTAATAGATTAAATTCCCTGATCTGGAGTAAGAAAGTCCAATTTCACTTAGGTGAGTTGGATTTTGATTTGGCTTTCCAAGTTGAAAAATTGGTCGCTATCACTAATGCTAGTAGTAATGAAGAAAAAACTCATTATAGAGCTTGAAAAAGATCAAACGAGACTTAGCCTTATGTTTATGCGAATGAGTATAGCAAGCAATATTAAGTCTGTTCTTCCTAAAACTGAAGATGCGAAAGAGTTTATGAAATTTGTGGAAGAGCGCTCTCAAACTAGCGACAAATCTCTCATTGGGACATTGATGAGTACGTTGACCACCATGAAGTTTGATGGTTCTCGTAGTATGCATGAACACGTAATCGAAATGACAAATATCGCAGACAAGACTCAAGTCTCTTGGAATGACAAGTGGAAGACAATTTTCTT